CAAGTCAAAAAAAATCAATATTCGCCCTGCGGCGCTAATCCAAGCATTTGCGGTACCTCTTATCTTCCTTCAAAAGAAATTTTCTTGATCTTCCCAACAATTAATGATCAATAGTTCTTCGACGACTAGCGTCACTCGCTCACTTACCCCATGATACACTAGTGTATCCTCCAAAAATATATCTTCCGACCCTTATTATTGTCACAGTCGGGCCCTTGCGGTCACATTGGTAGTGAAATGTACTTGCAGCCCAGCCGTCGACAGATGCACGCCAACAGCGTTTCCAGAAAGAATTACTGCTTTGCACCACAGGGGATAACCAACTGGTTAAAATTCTCAAGTAGTTCCTGAACTCTCCCACAATAGCAGACTCTTCTAAACCTGAGAGAAAGATTGATGAGTAATGGTAACAGGACTTAGTGGAGTCCAATTCGGTCTGAAATCATACGAGTGATTAACAAAGAGTGATTTGTTTAATCACGAGTACGATTACAAACCGAATTGGACAACACGAAATTCTGTTACCAATTAATCATAACAAAATTTGTGATATATTAGGATCTTTTTTGAAATCAAAACACAAGGAAATCCGGGATTTTTTTTGCTAGCAGTGAAAAAAAAAAGCCATTTAAGTGCGCGCGTGTGGGCGCGTCCTGTCCAATAGGGAGTTTAAGGGACCTTACGATCCGACAACGGCGACATCCATGAATACGTCGCTGGAAAATAGACTTCTCATCCTTTCACTTTTTTTCCCAATTATTCCAAGGGGCCCAGTTAAAGCGTGATCCACGTGCAGAGTTGTTGTTTGGCTCATTAAACTTATTGCTTATTTAACGTTCCAGTTGCCGTCGCCTTTGTAGTTTCGTAAGGTCCCTTTTAGCAACGACGACGGCGACGGCAACGAGAACGTCAAAACAGCAATAGGTTTACTAAGCAAAACAACAAGTTTGCACGTGCATCACGCTTTCCTGCACATTTCTTTGTCGTTACTGCACGACTACGACGTAAAAATGCCTAATTTCAAGTTTTATGGAGGACGTAAACAAGCGACGACGAAATTTTGTTTCTCTTTCTAAACTTGAGTGCGGTCCCCAACAAATCAACTCCAGGGAAATTTGCCTACATTAGACATTTTCAGCGAACTTGAAGAAAGGCGACAAAGTTTGAAAAAACTCTAATTCGTTTTAAAAGTGACGTTTTCGCTGCCGTCGTCGTCACTCCCTAATAGGGACCTTACGAACTACAACGGAGACGGCAACGGGAACGTCAAAAAAGCAATAGGTTTAATGAGCAAAACAACAACTCTGCACGTGCATATCACGTTTTTTTGTAAGTTTCTTTGTCGTTCCAGCCAAAGTGCGACGTGGAATGACCAAATTCTAAGTTGAATTGAGAACGGGAAATGCAAGGCGATAAATTCTACCATCTTTGTCTGAACTCGGGTGCGTTCCCTTCTCCTCAGCTCCAACTTAAATTTTCTTCTTTCAAATGACTGGGTGACTTGGGATAGTCGCGAAAAAGTTTGAATGGCTGCGAAGTCTATTTGTCAGTGACGTTTTCATTGGTGTCGCGGTTGTCAGATCGTAAGGTCCCTAATGACTTAAGCATAACGCGTACTGTCCTATTACAATGTCCTATTAGTGCTGAAATTAGGGCAGTTGATAGCCAATCAGATTTGAGAATTTTGAATTTTGTTATAATTATGATTAAGATAAATATGGTATCCGAATTCCATATCTTGAAGCGGATCACCACTGAATATTTTTAACCAATCATGGCGCTAACAAAGCCCCTGATGCCCGTTTGGATATTCTTGCTCAAGGCTTTTGGGAGAGATAGAGATCTGCATTTTTCGATGTTCGGGTGTGTCACACAACGCAGACTCTTAAAGAGACTTGACTCCCAAGCAGATCTACAAGAAACATAAGAACGAGAAGAAGAGGCAGTATGCAGAAAGAGTAATAAAGATCGAACAGGGATTGTTCTCTCCCCTAGTTTTCACGACCAAAGGCGGAATGGCGGATGAGTGTGTTAACTATCACAGCAGACTTGCGGAGCTGATTGCAGATAAGAAGGGAGAAAGTTGCTCAAGCGTAATTTCCTGGATAAGAGCTAAAGTGTCTTTCGCCATCGTACGCTCTGCGATACTAAGCTTGAGAGGCTCAAGATCCAGAAGACGACAGCTAGACTTTGTTGACTCAGATTTACAGATCGAAAACATTTGAGCCTGCCCGAATTAATCTTTCTTTTTTCTTTTTAGAAACATTTTAAAGAAACGTTTTAATTTTAGAGGTTGATAGGCATAATGGATGGTTTTGTCATGCACATGGTTTAGGAAGAATTTATATATATACATTTTTCAACTAACTCCTATGCTTTTAGTTTGAGAATTTCATATATGTATATGGCGAGGAACTATAATTACCCTACTGCAGTTTTTTTTTCTTTTGTGTATAGGTTTTTACAAGATGTTAATAAAGTTGTTGATTATTGTATTATCATTATTACTATTATTAAAGCAGCATTTTATGTACCGTGTCCGATCAGTTTTCTTTTACAAGCATACTGATGACAATCACTGCACTTCACGTCATTCCACTTGTATTTGTGTCCAACACCAAGTGTAAGGGCACAATCTTCATCACCAACATTGTTTGGTTGGTTTTTGGCCCAAGCTGTGAAGTTTCCTGCTCCGCTTCCCGCCCAAGTGAAGATTCCCTCTCTGGAAATGTCATTTAATCCCAGCCAGGACTTTGTCCCATTGTGAAGGTGTTGTATATATACGTTTACTTCATTACTGTTGACATTGACGAGACTTGCGTTTTCCTGCCGGCAATTAGCCAGAGCTTCGGTCCAATTTGCGCACTTCTTGCTGATTGCATAGCAAAATCCTTTAAAGTAGCTCCAGCCAGGATCACAGATATCTATATGTGGTAAAAATATCAAAAAACCCTAAAATCA